AACCCTGCATTAAGGTTGGCTGCTATTTTGAGTCTGTGTGATGAGAGAAACACAGGCACTGGCCACCATGCCTGCCCTCCAGCCCCCCCCGGCCAGGGATGGAAGGAGGCAGGGGCAAGCAGAGACAAGTCCCACACACCCTGGGAAGAAATATCCTTGTGGTTGAGCCCTTGGTCCTGCCCCACCGTGCTGGTGTCCCTGCCCCACCGTGCTGGTGTCCCTGCCCCACCGTGCTGGTGTCCCTGCCCTACCATGCTGGTGTCCCTACCCTGTGGTGCCAGATTGTGCATTTGGGAGCACCGTGTCCCTCTCTGACTGAAATTTAGGGATACGTGTGCCTTGATGGACGTCAGCAATGTTAGAGTTCTTTGCACTTTAATTTTAAAGCTGAACTAACTGGCTTTTGGTAAATTTTCACGTAACCTGGGACTCCACAGGCTTTTGCGTGCCTCTTGCACTGCTGGAGAAATAAACACCCAGCCATAGGCATGGTTTCAGGGACACAGACCAAGGGCTTCCTCTTGGCTACGGGGACAGAAAGGAGAGCTCATGCTCACCTCATGTTTTCTGAAAGTAAGTTACCTTGCTACAAGGTAAGTACATCTTTGCCTAGAGGGAATAACTTTCTCAAAGTTACAAAAAACTTCCTTAAAATGCACATTCTACTCATTTCTCATGCTGTCAGATGCTCAGTTATAGACTTGGAAGGGGCTTAACTCACTTGCTAAGTGGAAAAATTGTTGGTGGGAAGCACTTTTCAGCATGTTGGTTTTAAGAGGTGCAATAAACTATCATAATGGGTGTGCCTATCCTACAAACTGTTCCTTGGGATGAGAGCAGATACTGCATTCACGGTCTAGGTTCTAATTATTCTGACAGTGCCTTTGCCCAGAGATGCTTACCACAACTAAGAGTTATGATTTTTTAATAGGCATTATTCATAATTTAAAGATGTATCTTAAAGACATTACAGACTGCTGCCAGAGCTGTGATGCACGATCTGCAGAGGTTTACTCCCCGTTAGACAATACTGTAGAAGTGACTTGTATCTCCTCCCCCAATTAAACAATATTTTAAATGTGATCCCTGTTTGTGCTATCAGCAGAGCACTCAGCAGCGATGATCTGTGCTCTGACAGTCAGAGAGACTCTACAAGCAGCCGGCAGATTTACACTTTGGTGAAAACTGGCTTGTTATCTCCAGCAGCAAATTCCTCTCGTAAACAGTCTTGTGTGCTCAAGCTGCAAATGGAGTTTGCATAAACTGTAATGAAATATATTTCCTAAATACTCTCCTAAGTGCTTTAACATCCCCGGTTCGTTCCGATTCCCGAAGGCGGGCGCAGCCGGGCGCTGGTGGCAGCTGGAGACCTGTGGGGTGGGATGGGTTCCTGGCTGCTGCTGTGCTCCTCTCGACGTGCTGTAGGTGTAACAGCAGGTTAATTGGGATCTAACAGGGAAAAGGGCAGTGTGTTGCTCCAGCAAAGCAGGCCCATGGTCCGGCTGGTGAAATGGGTCTGCAGCAAACGGGGACCTCCAAGCACCTCCCAGGCAGGTCTGAGGAGCCTTCTTCTTGTGGCTCGTCTGTGTTTCTAAGAGGGCTTCTCCTAATCCCAGCTGTCCTAAACTGGGGACTGTGCCGTGTTACATCATTTCCACACACACAAGATCAATAACTATTAGAACTCTGTAGTTATACAGATAATTGTTCACATTTCTCTGTGTCCTTGCCCTGGATGTCCATCCGTAGCACTGCGTTCCTTGCTCTAATTACGTGTTCCTTGAAACAGCGCTTCCTTACAGCAGCTCCGGGTCTGCTGCTTTTCATGTCCTTGGTTGCTTGTGTGCTCTGAGAAGGGGAGGACTGGAGCTCCTGGTCTGCCTTCTCTCTGCTCTTCCTGACCTGCTGCGTTTTGGCTTTGTTCTTTGCTGTTGGTTTGTTTGTCGTTGGGTTGTTTGGGGTTTTTTTCTGAGCTGGAAACAAAAGCAGGGAGCAGAAAATGCGAGGGGGGAAGATCACAGCTGTTTCAAAAAAGAGCTCGCCCCTGTCTAGCATCAGCCGTGTGGCAGCGGGGATGCATGGGGCTGCACGGGTGTGAGAACCCCCTTTTTCTCTTTAAGCCCTTGAGAAGCCTTTCTTGCCCTTGTTTCAAAGCACTGCTCGGCATCACCCTCCCTCCCCAGGCTGGCGCCATGCTGCTGCTCCTCCGGCTCTGGTGTCGGGGAAAAGGCTTGTTTCCTGTGAGGGTACTCAGTGCTCCTGCTAATGGGTTTGCGTGCGGGAGAGAAGACACAGGTCACAGTGATCGTGCGTGGTGGAGAACCACAGGCGGTCCCCAAAGCTCTCAGAGAGCCCCAGGGTGGGAAACCCATCTCCTGAGCAATTCAGAGAGTGGCTGTGAGAGGCACTCCTGGAAACCAGCTTTGAGAGTCTTAGAGAGAGAAGCTGGAAAGGTCTGTCTTTCCATTAACACCACGGAGCCATCCCTGGCGGTTGCACAGCTTTGGTGCATCACAGATGAAGCTCCCCGTTGTCTGGTGTGCTGTGCCGAGGAGCGCGGTCACCCCGAGCCTGCGGTCCTGAAACCAAGCAGCACCACACTGTACATGTTTGAAATTTCTTCCTTGCCACAAAAGTCTTTCTTTTCTGTGTGTATGTGAATATATAGCAACAGATACTTGCAGAAGTTATTATCTGTTTACAGGCAGGTAGCTGCTGATAGGACCAGAATAAGTGGAGCAATGTCCTACCCTTCCAGAGAAGGGCTTGGCTCTATTGTTTGCAGCACAATTATTTGCATTCAACAAGGAAGGCACAAACCGGTTACAGTCTAACTAATCTTACGGATCTTTTACTGAATGAATCTGTTTCAACAGAATTTCATTTCCACTTGCACAATCAGCCTGGGAAAGGCAGATAGTCCTGCAGAAAGAAATCACCCCGGCAGAAAAATCGCTCTCCAGATCAGGCCTGGGAGACACGAGACAAGCAAGCAAACCAGATGAAGGATGATAACAAAATTGGGAATTGCAGAGCGGTTTATGCTGCTGCCTCTCCTGAGTTCCCTCAGTCGTTCGGCGTGTGCTGCGTGAACATCTAACGGTGCAGCTGCTGCTGCCAGCGGGAGCCAGTGTCTCCTCAGGACCGGTACGGCACCAGCCCGCCTGTGTGCGCCGCCTGGAAAGCACCGTGGGGTGGAAATGGTTCCTGGAGTCTCTGGAGGTGACCACCTGTGCTGGGGGCTTTTTGTTCTGTTGCTTTCTAATGATCCTCCTTGAGCCGTAGTTCCCCCCCTACAAGCAGAGAGCTGCCCAGGAGCCAGTCCTGGGGCTGTCTGTGGCATCAGATAAACTCCCACTTGGTAGCTATAAGCGTCCTGTTACAGCTATGTTATTTTTACCAAAATCTTGAGCAATTTTTTCTTTTTAAAAATGTAATGAAATCTTTTCTAGATTTGTGCAAAGGGTTTGGAACTTAATGCGCAGTTAAGACAGATTTTGACACAAGATTTTAAAGGTTAGAAACAGGAGGGAGCTTCAGAGCTTTGCCTTAGGGACAGGACCTGTTTGACAGACATAGTATTTAAAGACCAGGACAAAGTCTGGGAGATAGTGATGGTGATAGTGAACTCCCACTGAGCTCAGTGCAATCAGATTTTCACCATTAAATTTCTCTGTGGGTATTTATTAGCAGAGCACAGCTAGATAATGGACCCTGCTACAGCTCTGCAAAGGATGAAACCAGAATATAATAAAATCAAAACATTTTCCCAATAACAGCAAATACTCTGAACCCCATCCAGAAAAGGACTTGCGAGTTGTCTTATGGACTTCTGAAGTTGCTTTAGATATTGCAGAAACAGTTGGTAACTTCATGGCCAGAGTACTTGCAAGTGATTTTAGTATTTCCTCTCCTGGAAACTGAACCGAAAAAGCAAAGTCTGATACAGTCATAATGCCATTTTTGTATTTATTGTGTTATATGATCTCAGCCAAGAGCCCGTCAGCCTGTTTTCTGCCTCTGCGTATGTTGTGTTGCCTCATCTCTTGCTCAGACTGTGGTCTCTTCACCATTTTCCGAGGCTGGCGTGGACAGCAGCAGAAGGGGGCTCAAGCTGACCAGCAAGGGACCTGTTTCCCTCCTGGATTGCTGTGAGTACTTTGCAGTAGCCCACAAACTCCTAAATGTCATTTTCTAGTTGCCAGCGTGGCCAGCTGGGGCTGGTGTTGTGGCTAGTGCGGGCAGGGTGTGTCTCTTGCTCAGACTGTGGTCTCTTAACCATTTTCCGAGGCCAGCGTGGACAGCAGCAGAAGGGGGCTCAAGCTGACCAGCAAGGGACCTGTTTCCCTCCTGGATTGCTGTGAGTACTTTGCAGTAGCCCACAAACTCCTAAATGTCATTTTCTAGTTGCCAGCGTGGCCAGCCACCTCAAATGTTGTGGCTAGTGCGGGCAGGGTGTGTGGGAAGCCCATGAAGAAAGGTTGGGGGGGAGCAGCACTTGGAGGTGCTGTGTCGCAGGCCAGAAGAGCTTCTGTTCCTGGGGGACACGGGGGAGCATGGCCGGGAAAGCTCGTGTGGTGGTGCAGGAAGCCGACCCTGTGGGTTTGTTTCCAGCTCAGGTGTCACAAAGAAAACAACAGAGAGCAAATACCTCCAGATTTTCCTGGAAAGCCTCCAGCTGTCTCTCTTTACAGGTAACAGAGGCTGTTTCCTCTTTGGTGGCTCTTGTTTACCAAGTTACAGGCTTGGCTTTCTAAAGGTGTGCCAGGAACATAGGCACCAGTGACTGAGCCAGTCTGATAGAGCAGGAACAGTTGGATAAACACCACAGATCAGGGTCCCTCTGGTGACGTTCATTGGTACACTTGGCATTTGCCCCACCAAACTGGTGTGTTGCCTGCCCAGCTGAGATGGGATTCACCTCCGGGCTTGGAGGAGATGCTAAAGTGCCTGGGAAGGGGTGAACTCACTGGAAGGGCCCTATGGGGCTCACCAGGAAGAGCAGAGGCGGGGAGGGATGCGTACCCCTTTGGTGGACCCAAAGCTCTAGCCACCCCTCCTGGCCTCTGGCCCTGCAAGCACACAGGAGATGCTTCACCAAAAATTCCCTTGGGAAATGCTGCATCTGAGGGATCCGTGCGCACACACAAAGATCTCCTGCGAGTGCTGTAGTGTCAGGTTAGACTCCAGAGCAGAACAGCCTTTGCAGCCGCAGTGAGCTGGCTCTGTGATTCATTTATCTCATGACTTGGTGCTAGCATCACAGCTACAGCTATTTCAGGTCTAAGGAAGAACCACCCAATAAATAAAAGGAATAATTGGTATTGAAGTAGCTAACTGGCATCTCAACACTTCAACACATCTACTTACAGTCACATTTTGTGTTAGAGCTGATTGCGTGGGGTCGCTAACGCCACTGTCTGCCTTCCTCTTCTCTTTGTGCTTTCTGCAATGAGCAGAAAAACATCCTGAAATCGGAGGGGTGGTCTCTGCAAATTACTTGCTAAATTGAGCTGTGTTTTTGAAATGAACTTTAAAAGTAATCTGAACTTCTCTCCCAGCACTGCAAAATTGAAAATTATATTGAATTTCAAATTGTTGGGGAAGAAAGCAAACTGGCTTGTTCTGGGGAACAGAACTATGGCTGCTATATGCTGTAATCATTAACAATCCATGTCAGACTTTTCTGGAATCACAGTACTTTCCTGGAGGGGAGGATGCTTTATTTTTTATGTAGAATATTTTGCAGTGGGCTGTAGTGCTGTCTTGATGTGTTTGTATGATATTTAGTTCTTCAATAATGCTCTTGCAAGAAAGAACATACAAAGCCTGTTATAGATGCTGTCAGCCACAAAAACACCTGGAAAGAAGATACTATTTTTCATTTCCCAGGTTAAAAGAGGTGGGTGATCTTTTTTTTTCCTTTTTTTTTTTCTGGAAACAAGACATTATTTTTCCTGGAAAATGAAAGTCTCATTTGAGTAAAGCAGTCTGCAGATTCCTGAAAAGGAAAAAAAAAAAAAAACAGAAGCTAAACAGGAAGGGAATTTTCAGAAGAGAGTATAGTTCATTTCATAGATGGTTCTATCTTCAGCTTGCACTTAATTTTTATAGAAGAAAAAGAGCTTTAAAAACAGCTTCAAGATCTATATAAAAATTTGTGTTGTGTGAAATGAAGGGTTTGTGTTTTTTTTTCGATTGGAGAGACTTTGTTTACGTTTTGATTCGTACAAGCACTGGAGAAAATGTAACATGAACGGGCTATAAACAAATCTGTCCTTAAATGGCCCCAGCCTTCTGTTTTCCCCAGACTTGGGTAATCACGAACCTAATCAGGCTGATGAAGAAAGAAAATTTTCTGAGCCAGCCCAAAGGCAGTGACCTGTGGCAGGGAAGGGCAGGGAGAGCTTTGCCCACCTTTGCCCAAGGGCTGGCAGTGCCTCTTGTAACTATTTGTCAAGATGGCCAAACCCTCTGTGCTCAGTGAAGTCAGCAGAGCTGCAGTAAGCTCTGTACAGTACACAGCCCAGCACACAGCGTGTCTCTTTATATGGAAAAGCAAAGCCTAACGGTTTCAACATTTTCTTAGGTTTGCCAAGGCACAGCAACTTTGAAAGATGAACTGTTTAAATGTACATGCTTGGTTTTAGGCAGCCAAATTATTTTGCAGTGCCAAAGGTAGTAATATTTTTAGGAGAATAGCATCCCTGGCTTTAGTTTCTTTTACCAGAAACCTGCATAACCAGCAGAAGCGCTGATTAGCCAGGGCTGATGCCACCCTTGTGAGAGAGCCAAGCTGAAGACCCATCTCTTACTGTCCAAGTCAGATGTGGCAGAACAGGTCCCCCCATGCCTCATTCCTGACCTATGAATTTCAAGCCGGGGCTTGCTTGCTCACTTTCCATCTTCTTTTTTTTTTCCCTTTCTGTAGCAATAGCTTAACTAAAGCATCTGTTGTTTTGTATACCCCAATGGCCTTTGCTATCAGGGGTGTGTGTATATATATCCGTATACACAGTACAGTTCCTGTGCTCTCCCACCAAGAACTGATAAAGAAATGGGCTCCCTGTTCCTTGGCTTTTGAAAGGTACAAAGTAAAAGAGCAAGCTATAAATCCAACTTTGTACTCACAGGATATGTAGGAGGACAAATAATCATATCTTGTCAGGCAAATGACTGTTTAAGTTATTTTTCCATCTCGACGCATAGGAAGCCACAGCTACTGAAATGTACAGCTCAAAAGGTGAAATATGCATCTAACCTAGAAATATAGTACATCTATTTTCAGGTGCCACAAAACACATGTTCATCAAGAAGACTATTAAAAAATTCATTTCCTACGGACACCAGCATTGGACTATTGAGGAGATGGAGTACTGGGTAATGAATTGCACAGGCAGAAAAGTGTGCACTATAAAAGGTGAGCTACAAAGCAAAGTCATTCCCTTAGGATAAAGGCAAATGTTCCAACAATCTTGGTGTAGGATAACTGAAGCCTATACTGTCTTCAAAGTTTGATATGTAAAGTATGTCTTTTTAAAAGGTCACATCCTTTATATATTTATAAAATAGTCTGCTGCTGCCGCTTTTGGCTGCCTCTTTGGAAAGGAGCTATAGCACAGCTGTTAATTTTTAAAAATACCCACAATCCAGAGGTGAAGTCCCACTTTTTTTTCCACTCAGGATATTTTAGCTGTAGGAGCTGGTCAGCGAGAACTTTATCAGCAATGAAATAGACTCAGCATTTATAATGAAGATGATTAAGCCAGGCTTACTGAGGCATGCACTGAGCTGTGCCAGGAGGATGGTAAATGGAAGAAAAGGAAATTACACAACCTGATTAACAAAGAGCTAGCCAAGAAAGTACCCACTGAGGTGTCAGCTCAAAGACAGCAGGCTCCCCGAAGCCTAAGGTTGCCCAGAGGAACCAGGCTCTGCAGTGCTCCTGCTGCTCTGCAGGCAGCTTCCAGTCCAGTTTCCCCAACAGCTCCATCGGCCTGCAGCATGGCCAGGCTGCCAGCGACCATTCCTCTTCTCTGTGGCAGGTGGTGGTAGCCAAGTGGTGGGGATGGAAGACCTCCCCAGCCTCATTCATCACCTGGCTTTGGAGAGCACTTCGGTGAGCATCCAGTATTGTTAAACATGTAAATGTTGCCTTTAGCAGGGTTATTGAAATAAAGCTAATCTGATTTTCTGGCAGTCTACTTCTAGGTTGGATGGATGGGAAAAGGTGTTTGAGCATAGTATTGATTATGTTGACTGTACTTCAGAATTTTCTTGGAAGGTTGCTGGCAAAATATTGTTCTTCAGGGACTCGGTCTGCCTGCCACAGTTTATCTTAGCATATTTTTAATGTCCAAACTACTTAACATCCCCTCTGTTCTCATCTCTGTGCTTCTCTGCGCTTTAATGGAGTTTTGTATTTCCAGAGTTGATACTCCAGCCTGTTTGGAAGGCAGGTGGGGAGGGCTAAGGGGGACCTATAAATAACATCTTACTTTGGAGCCAAGAGATCTGGAGTCTGATGTGGCCACCTATGCGTGAAGCAGCGATCAGCTCCACAGAGGGCATGTTGAGCTAACCTTAAAGGAACTTCATGGCCAAAACAATGCAGAAGAAAATCAGACTTGCTCTGTGGCTTCCCATGCAAAGTGGCTTTTTAACTAGATATTAAATTATATGTTTTAGCTATAGGTTTGTCAGTGTATCTCAATGTATTTACAGTGATGTCTCTGATTTGTGCCACACTAGGCAGGACATGGGGCTGCAAAGATGGCATGGAATGTTGGTGTGTCCATGGTGGAGGTTGGGCTTCTGATTCCTGCACCTGGCACCTGCTCTGGGCTGGGGATGAGCTTCAGCTTAAATATGGCCCCATTGTGTGGGGTATCACAAGATTTACTGGCATAGAAACACACAGCACTACAGAGTACGGAATTAGGTGACGTTGTTAGACTCACCTGCATTGTGTTAGATATAAATTAAACTGATGTAAAAGGTACTGCCAGATTGGGAAGCAACCAGTAGCTTCGAACTCTTGCATAGGATGGGCAAATCACAATGTGCTGTCTCTAACGAGTAAGAAAGACATTATAAAGTTTGAGGACTTGATAAATTTCCTTTAATTTTTTTAAAAGTGTTCATAGTTGTGACATGTTCAACAGTAATTTTTTTCTAGAATAAAAATATCCATAAACTTTTCCCAGCAGTTAAAGATCCTCTGAGTGAAACAACTCTTTTGTTGGGAGAGGGAGGCTGAGAAGTGCAGAAGACAGAACCTTGTGGCATCAAAGTGGGCTTTGTGCCCCAGTCGTCCCTAAAGATTCGTGTGACTGTGGTGGCACCAGCTTCAGACCACGCACGCTGGTAAGGAGAGGCTGGGGGGGTGTGGGGGGGGTGGCATTTTCCAAATAGAAACTATAAAGCCAAAAATATGTGTAAACAAAGATCAATCTGACTATTGCCTCTAGGAAAGGAAAGTCCAGGGCCATGGATGAAACTAAAGGACTTGTGATTTTGTACAATAACAACATTTCTAAATTAATGGGTGGAATATGACAGTAATTACAGACATATACAGAATAAAATTTTCACATTATTTTTTTCTTAGTCTCCTTCAGAGTGCTAGTCACTAGCACAAAACTTCTACATTGTTGCACTCGTATTTGTAAGAAGAAAATCGATTGTATGTTGGATCTAAGTAAATTTAACCTTGTGGAAAACAGTTTTCCTGTCAGATTACATTTGTATCCCGAAATTTACTTGCAGGGATTTACACATCTCCCCTTGTTATGCCACATGAGTGACAAGCACGATGTTTGGTTTATCCCCTTTAATGATTTATCTTTATTTTTATCTTTTCTGTGTCTGTACATAGTGTTCCTGGCCTGGCTCTTACACACTTAATACAGGAGTACAAGTACTGGTGGTGTCTAAGTGGTTTGTTGCTCTGCTATGACATTTATTAGCAGGTGGCAAAACACATAGCCATGGTAGAAAATGTGTTCCTTGCAGAAATTATATGTTGCATCTCATCCAAGCAGTCTGACACCTTTTTTTAGGTCAAAGAGGAGAGAGAAAAATGAAGATGGGAGGTTTCTTTTTGCATTTAGAAGCAACAATTTTACAATGTGAATCTAAATGGAATCTAAAATTTGAGCTGGAAGAAAGATCTTCTTAAAGGAAGTATGGATTTGGAAAGAGTTTTGATAGACAATAAATAACGACTGTGTATTTCACCTGGAGATCTTGACAGGCACAATATGCCTCCTCTTCTGTGTGTTTGCATCAGGCTAGGGCAAAAAGAAAATAATGCAAAAAGGAATTACCGAGGTAACCCTCAGCAAAGTTCTGGCAGGGGTGGATCCCACCGGCTCCGGTAGATGAGATGCCCCAGTGGTGGTGACTGCAGTAAGCAGAGCAGTAGGAGAATTGCCCCGATGTGGGTCACTCACTTGAAAAATATATGCTCAAATTTGGATAAATGCTTAGTTCTCATTTAGGCATTTAAATGGAGTGGTACAAAATGCACTCCACAGCTGCGCCAGAAGAGATTTACTTGAATTTAAGCATGGAGCCAAACAAATCCAGTGGATTCAGATTTGGTGACATAATCAGGGAGCCACATAGGCAGTTTAAAACTCATTATTTCTTTTAGAGCCTGTCCTGGATCCTGCCCATCCGACCCCAAGAACTTGGCTGCTTTATGGCACTCCCGCCGAGCCCCACGAGAGGCTGGATCTTCTGCCAGGATAAAGCCAGGAGCTCTATTTTTAGGCAGATGCCAGGAAGGTTTTTCGGAAACATATCACGGAGCAGCAATCATCGGAGCTGGGGAGCTGCCAAACAACCATTTCCTAGCTCTCATCCCCCAAGCGTGTAGGACCAGCATGGCTCACTGTCTGCTGGTTTTTGTCTTAGCAGAGGCAGGCAGAGCCCTCTGCGTTGGACCGCTAGTCACTACAGAGCATATCTCCTGAATGGCTGTGGCAAAATTAAAATAATTCTATTATAGTTATTCACCAGTGTACATTACATCTGGAATCAGAGGTTGCTTTTCGTTCTTTACAAGGGGAAAACATTGTAAGTGAACCTGTAATTTTGAGTACGCTAATTCCAAGACATTTGCAGATACTGAGTGGTTTCCTGGAATAACAGCCTCTCTCAAGAGAAACGTCAAACACATTTAATCAGCCACATTTAGAGCTCTGCAACATCTGCAAATGAATTATTAACGATCTCAAATGTTTTTGAATGATCCAAAAGTCAGGAATAATGTGGCTCTTCAGATAATCACCTCTGATTCAGGCCTTCTCCTTTCCACTTTGTGCACCTGCTGCTCTCTGGAGTTCCTTGCAGCTCGGATAAACCTCTCTGGAGGCACTTGGGTGGCAGAACAAATGCAAAGTGCAGCTGCCATCCAGCTGCATCTGTACAGATTTATGCATCGTGCAGTAATTAGCCACTGACCAGTGTTGTGCACCTTTGGGGGAGGCAAGGGATGCTCCAGGGAATGCAGTTCCCACATGCATCTTCACTGCACATGACTCTTGTCCGCAGAAGTCCTCCGCTCCCACCATACTAAGTTCGATCTAAGTGATGGAAGACTGGTCTGGTTATGGTTTACCTGGAAAAGCAGGTTTGAGTCATGAATCTTCTCGTTAGGTAGCAAGAGCAAGAGGGGCAGAATAAAGCTGTAAAGCAAAGCACAGCTCAGGATGCCCAGGTTCCAGCCTTGGCTTGCCCTTTGCTGTGTTAAGAAAATCATAGATGGCTCACGTTGCTTTGCCTGCAGAACAAGGTATCTTGTCAAGGGCTTTGAGAAATACTAATGACTGTCATATTATATGTGACTCAAAACACTTCCACTGCAACGTGGAAATACCCTTTTAGAAAAAAATAATTGCAGCAGTCTAGTTTCTTCAGATGAAGTAATGTGGTTACATTGCTTTTTGAATCAACAAATGTTCTCATTTAAGAGCCCCAGCTGACAAAATAATGGAGCCATCAAGATACAGATGTAAACAAAACACTTTGCAGTACCATGTGAATTAAGGCTAAACTGAAAAGGTATTAACTCTTGTGGATACCCACGCAGTGAATTCTGGTATGTGTTCAAAGAGCTCCTCAGGTCTTGAGGAAGGTGTTCAGCAGCTTGTTATATTCAGACCAAATGCAGAATTTCTATTCAATCTGCTTGTTGGGGAAGACCTGAAATATGAGGACACAATGATGTTTACTGTGGATTTTAAGAGGAAGATGTGAGCAGAAACATTTTTCTTTGCTGGAAAAAAGCCACTGATAAACAAAGAGTACAACCCAGCTGCATCTGGGATGCTGTCAAATCGTAGCACAAAAGAGGAATTAAAAATCTAACCCTTACTTTGACCGAGTAAAAATTACGGGGCGGTCACTTTATTTTGCATATAATTATAATAATAAGCTTGATAGTGTATTTGTTATGGATTATGTATTCTGTGTGCATTATTAACATGACTGTTTGTCCCACTGCACTCGTAAGGAAAACATAAACCGCAGACAGATGAATACAGAAGCGGCTGTGGCTATTAAGAGCAATTAAGCATTACATGGCTCTCTGCAGGGGGTCGCTCTGGAGTGGTTTAATGGAGCAGATCTCATGTTATGATGTACATTTTGATAACATTGTCTTGCATATTCAGGTATAACTACCTGCTCTTCTGCAGGAGCTTGGGTTGCATAGCAAGAAACAGCTATAGCTACCAAGAGGGTGCTGCCTATTTAATATCTGCTCATTTCATTTCAAAGTGGAGTTGGAGATTCATTTGTTAGCAATAAAGTACTTCACCGGGAGATTAGCTATCTATTTTCTGTGGCTAGAAGAGGAAAGGATATTGACGTCACCTTTTAGCTTGAAATCAGCTTGAAACTTCCACATAGTTCTGTTACACAGTGTACTGTTCTGTTATTTCAAGCTCAACATCTCTTTTCTTGTTTATGAAGATGAATCACAAACAATATGGCTTGCACACCTCATGTGTGAGATGGTCTTCTAAGAAGTGATGTATTTACTCATACCAAGGTTTGGATTTTCCAAAGCTTATTTTCTTCTTGTACACAGTCTCTGAAAGAACCTTCCCTCCCACGCATAGGTTTGTATCTCTGTTTCTTTAGATCTGAAAACATTCTTGTATCCAAAATTTTCACTGAGCTCTCCTTGAATAAGATCCTGGAGGCAGCGTTTATGCCAAACAGCTCCCTGGGGCTTTGGTCAGCTCGGGAGCCCAGGTAGCCCAGGGGAAAGGAGTGCTACAGGCTGTGGTAGGATGAAACTAAGGAACTCAAACCTACCACCAGTCATGCTTGAACGTGTTTCTTTTGTGTGGCGTCTTTTCTAGGCTCTCCACACACCTTGTACATTAGGTATATTATTGCCCGGTAGCATATTCAAGGAACAATGGTTGAAACAGGGACCTGTGAACCTCTGTCCCATTGGCAGAATCATTATTTTAAAAAAAATGAGATCAACTAAAGAGGTAGGAACATTAGTACCATGTTAAATTAATATATGTTGTAAAACTTCATCTTTTCACCCAGTCAGCCTCTTACATTAACTTTCAAAAAAAATCAAACTCCTCAAGCCGTAAAGTCTACAGGCTGATGGTTTTGTTTTCCACTTGAAAGAAATATTGAATACCCTCTGAGCCAAGTCCCTTTGGAAGGCTCTCAGGTCTGGGGACCTTCTGGGGCATTGAGGAGGCTGCAGTGCCCCATGTATCAGCCCAAGGGAAAGAGGAGCACTGAGCCTGCTCACAGCGTGGGGCTGGCTGGGTTGTGGCAGAGGCCATCCAAGCACAATTTTAGGATGAAGCAGAAGCGAAGGTTGGAACTTCAAAGCATGTTCATCTTTGTTTCCTCGGCGCTGGGATGAGCTGCTGGGATTCTGAACGGCTGCCTCCCAGCTGCCATAGCAACGTGTTGCTCAGCCCTGCATCGCAGGGGCAAGGGGGATGCTCCTCCCAGCCTGTGGCTCAGCAGCTGCTGGGAGGGAATGGAAAAGCTCCTTTTTAAAGCACCATTGTATGTCATCATTGAAGGAAAGAAAAGCAGCTAAAGGAAAAAAAAGATTACTGTTGTCTTCACTGAGCTTTACCTGTGCCCTGCTAAAGATTTTTAATTATTTGGTCTTGGTATCATGACGGTGTTTAAGTGTGTTGAACAGTGTGTTTGTGGCCACCACCGTGGAAGCTGTGAGTGCCCAAGGCCCCATACAACCTCTGGCTGCAGCACACAGGTTGCGACCATGTCCAGGAGCCAAAATCCTCGTGCCTGGGAGGCTGCAGGAGCACAAGTCCTTCTGCATGGTCCAACATCACGTAGCCCTCAGTCCCTCGCTGAGCTCAGCCACGGGACAGCAGGCAGCAGAGTCTGTGCAACCAGCCTTTCCAAAAACTCATGTCTTCTGGGAGAGATGTTCTGCAGTGATAAACAAACCACGCCTCACCTGATGCATGAAGGAAAGACCTGAAGTGGTGGGGAGAAGCCCTTGATACAACCAGGATACCCAGAGGCATGCACAGCCAACACGGTGACACCAGGGGCTGGAGCCCTTCCCAGCATCTCTCCCCTGCAGGACATGGACACACGGCCTTGTTAAATTATGTGAGTTAATTATGTTTTCCCATAAGAAAAATTTAAAAGAAAGGCATTTAACTACAGCCCTGGTAAAACCAAAATGTCTAGCGAGCTGGCTACTGAGGTAGGCGCTGGTATTGTGTGTGTGAATAAGGGCAGTATATAAAGTCTCCTGTTAAAATATGACCTTGGAAGGCAAATATAAAACTCTGAAACTTGCTCACTGAAAACAGCAAATATTCATTTAATTCTCAGTACTCTTGTTTTTATTACTGTTTCCCAGTTTAATGTATTATCTATTTAAGTATTATATGTTACTGATTTAAGCAGAAGAAAATTTTCTAGACTGTGAGGATTGCAGGAGCAGTATCAGGATCAAAGAGAATAATAGTATTAGGAATCAAGGTGATATTATTCTTTTAAAGCACAATTATTTTTATTAATAAAATACAGTGATTCCAAGCTCCCAGTGGCATCACAAATGACAACAGGTTTGTCCTTCTTTAGAGTACAGAAGAGAATTTAACTCTGATGTTTTTTCAATTCCATGTTTTATGTTTTGACTCATGCAAATAACAGGAAACTGAAGGCTTTTGCTGTGGCCCGAAGCAAGAGCTCTGCCTGAACTCCCCTCCTCTGTGATTGCTCAGGGTAATGGTGACACTGAAGAAGTATTATTTCTGCAGCCTTCGTACTTTGCTTTATTAGACATTGCCTCGCCAAAAATCATCCCCACCCCACTTAGCAGAGATGAGCTGCTGAAGAATACCACAGGGAAAACCACTTTTAAACTCTAATCCTGGAAATGCTTCTGCCTGAGCTGTCCTAGTGACAACCACGTCTGACTCACAGAGTTACACAAGCACATTTTGTTCTCTAAAAGAGCCGTAGCTTTTCCAGAACATCCACTGCAGGTCTTAACAGCAGCTCAAGAGACTTTTCAAGTGATGGTGCAATGTAGGGCACAAAAGGTTCTGTGTACATGTATATATATATGTAACGGCCATTTCATGAAATGGGAAATAATATTTTTATTAGACAAAAAAGCAGTGGTACCTACAGGGAGAGTTCTCTGCTTGTTTTGCCTTGGAGCCTGTCTCTTTCTTCATGGTAGCCATCATGACAGATGGCAAGGAACCCACCTGCTTCTCGTCTACTTCATCAGAGCTTCCCAGAGCTGCTGCTACTCACATACAAAGGTTCAGTTTTTCAGTGCTTCCCCGCAGAGTCTGCCTTAGCTGGACAGATTGTTTATCTTCCTCCCACTGCCAAGAGATACGGAACCATTAATTACGGGGGGAAGACGAAGGAGGGAGGCGGTGGGCAATTTTCAAAAAAGGTAGTGGAGCTACTGCCCTGGTTGACTTCAGCAAGCTCTGCAGGTACACACCAGCCTTAAAGATAATGCCAGTCAATATTCTTACAGCCCAGAAAAACCACAAGTATAAGCTACCAACTTATTCTACAGTAAAAGAAGAGACTTCGGAAGAATTGTCTGTAGAACAGATGTGTTTCTGTTTCAAATTACTATGACTTTATCAATTGCCACAAAGAAACACAGTCTCTTGTCCAGAAATAATTTATTCATCAACAATAAAACACTGAATAGAAAAAGCCTTTTAAATAAAACTATATATATAATGCTTTATTTTTTTATTCAGTACTCCACAAAAAACACTACAGACAGTAACAAAATAATGAAATTAATCTTAAAAATTTCAAATTATAATTGTCACTCTTCATTTATCATGTTTTATTAACAATGCAAAGGTCATTTGTTTACATATTATAGTTTCACTTGATTTCATTAAATTGTTTCTTAAAACACTCGAAGCAATTTGTTGTTTGCCCCATAATTTATAACATATATAAGTATATCAATAAACAATATAACAGCTCTGAGAAAGATATGCAGACTGTTCAATGGTAAGTAGTCTACCGGAGGTTGTTTAGTGGGAGAGCGGGAAAAATCACAACTGAATTGGGATAGAAGTCAACACATTGAAGAGAAATAGTATTTGGGGAACAATTACATATTTTCCATTGCCCGTTTAGTGATGTGATCTCTTTCGAGCTCTGATTTCTCCTGTTTTAGGTACTCTAGCACCTTTGCTAGCATATCCTCATCCAGATACTGCCTGTTTTGCGTGTCATCGGTGTCCCCAGCCATGGAAAGCCTTTTGCTGAGGGAAGCCAACTTCGCGGCCTCCTGTGGTCCCAGCTGGCTTAGGTGCTCCCTGATGGCCTGCTCCAGCCGGTCATCTTCCTCCAAGTCGCTTTCAGAAGCTGGAACTGGGACTCGTTTCATCTGGTTGGTGTTGATAACTTCAGGATATTTTGCCAACACCTTTGCCAAGTAATCGACCAGCTCGTCATCCTTCTCGTTCAGTTTCTCGTACTCCATTTGTCGCCTTTCCAAATCGTTCATCCAGGCAGCTTTAGGAAATGGGTGTCCTTTCAATCTTCTGGGAATGTAAGACAGTCTTGGCAAATCATTTTCTTGATTAAGACGATTTAGTAAGTAGGAGGGATTCTGATTAGCTAAATTGTCAGTTCCCAGAAGACTGACAATATCTTCAATATTGAGGTCTTCAGGTAGATTTTCTGGAATAGCATTAAGAGGCTGCTTCATGTACCCGTTTTTAGAGTTTACATTATTTTTAAATATATCGCTCTGTCCTAGATTAGTTTCAGCGATCTCATCGAGGTCTTCTGGGAATTCTGCTTCCTGCTCAGCTTCCAACCTTTCACTCTGAAGCTGCTTTTTTTCTCCAGCTTTCAACATGTCTATTAAATCCTCAGGAGGAATTTGTAAATTCCTTGAGATTTCTATCAGCTGAGCTATAGACTGAGGGTCAAGTTGCTTATCCAAAAATGACAGTGCTCTTTTTTCCTCAAGTTCTCCAGTCCTTAGTTTCCTATTTGCAGCACCACCCATCAGCCTCTTCAGGTAAAGATTCATTAGCTTTGAAACGTCCTCTGACATTTGGTCTTTATTGTCTCTTCTTATTTCATCCTCAAGGAAGCTGAGTTTTCCCGATCTTTTCATTTCATCATCAATCTCCTCTTCATGTTTATCAATTTCCTCTTTGCTGTCTTTTATCTCTTCCTGGGTTTGACTTTCCACTTTTTCCTCTATGGGATTCCAATCTTCTCCTCCGACCACATCTTCATAGGCAATGTTATTCACTTTATATACATCATCTTCATCATCTGTATACAATTTCTGGTCCTCATCCAGCCTTTCTTTCTTGTGGTTACTGGGTCCTGCCATCTTCCCCAACTCCTGAAACACAGACTCCAAGGTAGCGAGGCTTTGGGGTGTGTATTGCTCTTCCACTATTTCATTAGTGCGCTTGAAAGGACTGTCTCGTGAACTGTCTTCATAGTGCCCAAGTGGCATTTTGAGATATTTTTGCCACCTCTCAGGCCACTTGTAAGCCTCATAATCATCAGTTACTCCAGCTGGAAAGTTGTTATCTGAACTCAGACCATAAGGTTTATTCTCCTTTGGGCCAACTTTTGACTCTTTCTCAGCTTGCCGCAAGGCTTCCAACATGACCTTAACCCATTGGGACTCATCTTCAGTCAAAGAATCCCTTACATTCTCTGGTAGGTGAACCTGATCTTTGCTTGCTTTCTGCTGCAGGAGATACGGGACACTTTGATAAGAGTTGTAATCAGGGCTGCTTTCTCCATTGTTTGTTTGCTTCCGAAGATCTTCTATGTATTCCAAAGCTTTGATCATATCAGGATTTGGGAATCGTTGTAAGTTTTTCATTACATAGTCTGGGTCTTTCTGAAGCAGCTGATGCTGCTGGAAGGAAGCTGCATCAACCCAACAGATTAGGACAAAGAAAAAGGTGAGAGCGCAGGCTGCTTCAAGCTGGAAGGTTTTAGTTTCTGCCATATTTAAAATATTTCCTTGAAATAAAGAAGAAGAAGAAAAAAGAAGCAGTTAACATATGGAGGCAGAATTAGCAAACTGAGAAGCAAAACAGAGATTGTTATTTTAAACCAGAACTCATCACGAAGAATACCACCAGTACTACACATTTTATTAATTATGGAAACCTAATATAACTCATACATGGAAACATGAGATTTTCTGAACCTTTCCCATGATTCCTCAGCTTACTGGAAACTATTGGGTTCCTATGCTAGCAATTTCATATCTCTATGCTCAATGTACTTTATGAACACCAATTTTCCAATGGCAGCACCAAATTATACAATACAAATCGTCTACAGCTCATGAACTGCCCACAGAGGAATCTAGATGTCATTTTGATTATGGAAATGGAAGCTTCAAATGGTAAAATCAGTATATCCATACATTTATATACCACCCAAAATATTAATATTAAAATTGCATACAGAATTATTTTGTGAGATTGTTCCATGGGGTATCTAATTTCATGCCAGGTTAATACCACTGAATGGTGCTAGACTGCAATAAAATTAATGTAGTGAAGTGGAGAACATGACATATAAATGACTTGCAAGGTTTATTTCTGTCATTACTGTTACTGTTATTACTTCCTTTTTTTGCTACTTCGTTTTAAAAAATATTATTTGTATTACAGGTGAATTTTAGTTAAAAGGCTCTGAGTGAACCATTTTCCTATGGGCAATGATCCCCTATATGAAGGACAAGCTATAATTTATCCTCTAGGTACAATATAATTTTGCTGAATCCTTTGAAGCCCATCTCAGAAACAGCTCGAGTAGGTAGGTTCTGAGAGGGGATTTCATTCATTCATTCACTGCAGCAGAAATTGAATCAGGTCCCAGGACGGGCAGAAACGTGACCATTGGCAAAAGCGAGCAAAATTCAGTTAGAATAGATCCGTAGAAGCCCATGTCTAGTCAGCCTGCCCAGCTTACACCAGCCAACAATAAACCCTGGAACAGAAGTGGGAAAAACATGCATCCGACTGAATTAACAAGATTACCCACTGCTGCGTATGAGGATACAGCTGCCCGAGCCCAGCCCTGCGGGGACCTGAGCACCCTCCACCCAGTGAGGGGAGAGATTGCCATCACTTGTTTCCTAGGAGGTACTCGGGCACCCATACACTGGGGCCATGAGGCAGATTAGACTCTTTTCTGATCCAGTTACATTAGCAAATAAAGTACAATAATGAGAAAGAAACGATAAAGATAGAAACCACTTTGATTAATTGACCTATTTTGGTTCCTTTGGTTTTTGGCTCGGTAAAAGCATCCTGTTGAGACGCCGGTGATTCATGACAGACTGAGAGAGCTATGTATACCACTATTTACCCTCGGCTGTAAGTAGAAAATGAGCGTGAATATGCTCATTTCAGGTCACTTGTAGATTTTTCCGCTCAGTTTTTGTTCCTAACGCGATGTGACTTAACTAAATAATTAAAGCAGGATCAGTTCAGAGAGCTGCTTTTCTCCCCTCAGTCTGCCTGGGCAAGCTAAAGACATAAGAGCAAACCATTTCCTCAAACATTTCTAACTACTCCAGCCTGGGCAGGGTTGAGCATTGATTTCACAAAGGATTCATTCAGAACAGCTGATTAGAAGGTCCCACCCTCCAGATCTGAGTTTGCCCTGAGACAAAGCCAATGCATTCTTTTCTGCCACAGAAAAGGCACTAGTCCTATATGTAAATGTATATCTCCATGAGGAAAAAAAAAAGGCACTTTGCTACCTATTGTAACAAATAAATGAAATTAAGACTTT